TTTTTAATCGCTTAAATATATATATATATATATATAAAAAATTCGACTCGATCTTCTTCACGAAGAATCACGCGCGATTTTGCATCCGTCGATGATTTTGTCTCCTCGATGATGCGGCGCACGAAACGACCACGCGATTACACAATCGATTAATCGAACTGTGAACGAGCAAGCTTTTATTACTTTTTTATAAGGCGAAAATTTGCGATCTGAGATCGAGAAGCTCCGCGGAAGCTTCCTTCTCCCTGGGAAGGGGGTAGAGTATATATATATATATATATATATATATCCTCCATCCGTCGGCATCCTGTTTTTTTTTCTCTCTCTCTCTCTTTCTTTCTTTCTTTTTTTTTCGAACGAAGGACCTTGGAATTCGGGACCAATACTGATTCGGGGAAAGAATTTAGAATTTATCCATCGATTTATCACTTACTCTCGAAAGTGTGCACAAGGATCCCGCCCCCTTATCCTCGGGAGAAGGATAGATACACGAGGCTGACACAAGAAAAAGTACAAAGTATCCGTTATATACCTGGATTGCGATCAGGAGCAACGATTGTAGTTAAAACGACGAGCAAGAAGTGACGAGCGAAGAAGAGCAAGAAGGAACGAAGATGCAAAAGATAAATAATAATAATAAAAAAAAAAAAATGATTATTTTCAATAAATGTAATATGTTTTGAAAAAAAAAAGAAAAAGAAAATAATAATAATAATAACAATAAGAAAAGAGAATTAAAGAAAATAGAGGGAGTGTGGGGAGAGGGAAGAGGCTTTGAAAAAAAAAAGAAAAAGTGGAAGCGGCGAAAACATTCGACATTCCAATTTGTTGCGCGTCTAATCGAGAAGACCTCGTCGAAAGAAAAGTCATCGTTTCAACCTAATGCCTCGGTTTTGCTTTTTTTAAGACGATCCTTATATCGACGATTCTACAGAAGATTAATCATCATTATCCAACAAGCGTTCACTATATAAAAATAGTTTGGATGACAGTCGACAGAGTGACGATGCGTTTCTCGAATCTCCCTCCCCCTCCCGTCCAACTCCTCCCCGTCGAAATCCCTGTTGGAGGGAAGAACGGACGATCGCCCGTGATGATGGGGCGAAACGAGAGAATTTTTTTTTTCTTTTTTTACTTTAGACTTTAATCTTTAAGTGGATAGTGGATGGATTGACAACGACCACTTCAACAATTCGTACGAATTTTTGTTGCGAGATGTAAAATAAATATAATTTCTCTCACGTTGTCAAATCAAGGCTGTCGATAGTCGAGCCCCTTCCAGAGCACTTAAAGATTAAACTAAGGGCAAGGGAACGCGCGTCGTCGTTTCTCTTCGATTAATTTTCGCGATTAACCGAACAGGCGGAGGAGCGATAAGTTTTCCTTCGACTATTGGGATCGCCTTTCATTTGCCTCTCTTTCTTCTCACTCACTTCTATCTATCTATTTCACTCTCTCTCTCTCTCTCTCACTCACTCAGTCAATCTCTCGATCATTTTCTTATTTCGAGCGCTCACGATTTTTCTTCGATATCGTCGGGGACACGGACTATAACACATTATCCTTATTACGAATGGACCTTAATAAATCTTATTATACTAATGTATAATTCTGTAAATGTAATTGGGTATTGGAAATGGCCAATGATACACACGATGGTGGAACTACATCTTTGCTCTCGTTCTTATCTTTATCTTTCTCTCTCACTTTCTCTCTTTTTTCTTAAATATGCTGCTGCTACTTCTTCTTCTTCTTCTTCTTCTTCTTCTTCTTCTTCTTCTTGTTTTTATATTTTTCGTTCTTTTTCTCTTCTCTCATCTGTCTTGCAGTCACTTTTTTTTTTTTTTTTGAAGGAAAAAAGAATCCTTGTTCCCGTTCGATGGATAAGTAAGTATGAGTTTACGGTGTAAAACACTAATTTTTCTATATTTATAGCAACAACTGTACACATGGTGCCGGCCACATCGATATCCTCCGTTAAAGTGTTTTCGTTTAATTTCAATTTTGACAAATTGTTGTTTTATCGGAAAAAAACGCTGTTCAGTGCTTTCTCTCACTCTTTGCTCTCGAGACGTTCGTTTAAACAACATATCTCTCGTTGTATAAATTTTTTTTTTACGAGAAGACGCAAAGCCAGACGCCCAATTTTTTTCTTTTTCTTTTTTTTTTTTTTTTTTTTGAAAAATATCGACCGATTCTCCCTCGAGAAACTTCTCTTCTGGACAAGTTTTTTCCCCTTCTTTTTATTTATTTATTTATTTATTTATTTATTTATTTATTTATTTAATCGCCTTCGCGTGCGATTTAATACATGGCATAAATACTATCCGTTCATCGACTAATCAATGAGAAATATAGGACGGTACGTAGATATCGGTATCACTTATCAGTTTTTCCAGCGAGAATCTTTTTCGAATCGTCGTAAAAGTAGTCTTCCATCGAGGTCGTTTTTTCACAAAAAGTATTATTATTATTATTATTATTATTATTATTATTCGTATTATTTACATTATTAAAACGTTACTTAAAAAACACACCTTCCTTTTCCACCTCCAAAAAAGAAGAAGAAAAAAAGAATAAAAAATAAAACTTACCCAATTTAAACCTAAATTTAGGCGTGTTAAAGCGACGAGGAACACATTAACGGTGTAACCGCTGAAAAAATAAAAATAGAGAAAAATAAAATGAAACAAAAAAACAAGAGTATCCGTATTATTCCAAGATGAATCTTAATCAAATATCTAAAAAAAAAAAAAAAAGAAAAAGAAAAAAATAAAGAATTCCCTTAAAGTCGAAGGAAGCAAAATGGACAAACCGAAAAACCGACCCCGCGATGGAACGAGAGCCTGAACAGCATTCGCAACATTTTCACATTCCGACGTATTTCTCCCTATATTTACATGTATTTCGCTGGGATGGAGTGGTCTGGTTTGGGACGATTAGTAGAGATTCGCAGTTTTCAAGGGCAACGGGTCCAACAGATACGGAGGTAGCGCCGCTGAGAAGGGCCTGGGGCTACACGAGCCCCATGCCCCACCACCCCCGTTGCTTCCCCGCGTGTTCGGCGAGTTTCCCTCCGCCGCGGACGCGTCGCTCACGGACGCGTGCTTCACGCTCACCAGGTTCGGGTTAGGGATCGGTTTCACCTCGTTCGCGGACATCACGGCGCTGGTGTTGGCGGGCGGCGTCGCCGGGCTTCTCGGGGAGCGGCCCTCCGCCTTCCCGTTGCCACCCACGGGGCTCGAGGCCCCGCTTTCCACGCCTATCCCGCTCTGGGACGTCGATTTCTGCTGAGCCAGCCTCTCCTGCTTCCGGAATTTCGCGCGCCGATTTTGAAACCACACCTGCAATCATTTCACGTGAAAAAAGTGAAAAATAGCGATAGCGAAAGAATAGTGCAAGAATAATCTAAAGTAAACATTTTTTTCCCAATTCCAAAAAAAAAAGATCTGGATAAAAGGTGGAAATTCTGAAATAAACGCGTAACGCTTTTCGAATGTATATGTATTCGTCGCGTGTATCCTTCGATTGGCGAATTTTATTCGGCATCGGATAGAATTATCGAGGCTTCGATGGAAGAGAGAGAGAGAGAGAGAGAGAGAGAAGGAAAAAGCGTCTCCGCGAATAGGAGGGAAGACGAAGGAGGAGAAGGAGAGGATGAGTGACGGAAAAGCGCGTCATGTCTGTGTCCGGCTCGTCAGAGCGGAACGTCGGCGCGGTGGCAGCGCGCTCGTAATTGGCTCTAGTTGGCCAAATGAAATATTTAACGAATAAAATAAACGGAAAGCGGCGGTGACCTGCATGTTAAAGTAGCGGATTTATTTGCTTTACCGTTTATCTGACCAGCAAAGCTACTCCTCCCTCCCCCGTCCCTTTTTTTCTCCCCGACCCTCCTCACCCTCCCCCCTCCCCTCNGGGGCGCGGGACACCATGATGAACGTGATTGCCCTTTCCGGACGGCAAACACTGCTATTGGATTTTTATCAGCTGCTGCTGCTGCCGGCTGCTGCCGCCGGTTGCCACCGCTGTTGCTATTGAACGGCCGCCGTTCGAGAAATTCAACCCCCGGAACTGGCGGTGCGTCGAACAGTTTCCAGTTTGCTCTTACTGCCTCGTGAATACACCGTTTCCGTTCTACCGATTAATCGTTTTCATCATTTTTATCACCCTTTCATCCTACCTTTGATCGTTTCATCTCGTCTCGCTTCTCTCTCTATTCCCGGAATATTCTTTCCTGGGGGGGATTTATATAAATTATTAGGATATTTGTAAATTCCAATGATAAATACGCGGGTAGAAATAAATCGGTTTAGGATATTATTTTAATGTGTCGTTTCGTTTCTTTTAATACGCGGTGGGTAATTTTCTCTTCTTTTTTTGATATCTGGCGGCGCAAAATAATGGCGAGGGAGAAAGGCAGTAACGAGACGAGATTAAAGTTTCAATAACAATTTTTAATAAGAGGGGGTTAATCGAATCAAAGGGGAAATTAATTATTCGAGTCGTTCACGATTACGAGAATATTCGAATTTTAAATTATTGGATTAATATCGGGGAGGATGGGAAAAAGTTTTTCCTTAAGATATTTCCGATGATCGCGAAAGAGAGAGCGAAGAGAGGTTCGAACGTGGCTCGATAAAATTACGTCATCGACTAAAAAACTACGTAACACACACACACACACACACAGACTGGCCGGGCGTGTACGTGCCAGCGACAACACTAATAATTCGTATTTGGCCACGGACCAGAAGCCCGAAGAGGCCGTAGCAGCATGTGTGCCGTTGTTTGCCGAACGGACGACGACGCCGGCGTGAATTAGGGAGACTACGTGCCGGCGTTAATGTTAAATAAATACGGTACGCCTAAATAAAATGCAACGAGCCGCACCGACAGATGTCCACCTCGTTTTGGATAAATATTTAAGCCTCGCTTCACGCGCTCCGCTGCCTCCACTGCCTGTCCTTCCTTTCCTCGCCGTTGCCAATCAGCCCATCCTTGTTCTTTTCGAAATTCTTCTCGAGGCTTTCACTTCCTGGCAGAAATTATTTCTAGTTCCTTTTTTTTTTTCTATAATTGAGAAAAGTACTTCTCTAATCGCATCATATTGGTTAACTTTTTTTTTTCTTTTGTTAGGAAGAATTATTTCTATACGTTTCTTTTTATATTAATTTTTTTCAATTATCAAGAATATGAATTTCGAATTTTTCGAACTTTTCATCAGCCCATATTTTCATATTTTCATATTTTTTTCTTGGCTTTTTAATTTCTTGGCAGAAATTATTTCTAATTCCTTTTTTTTTTTTCTATAATTGAGAAAAGTACTTTTCTAACGTGATGCGAATTTTTAACTTTTTTTTTCAATTTTCTTCTCTTAAGAAAAATTATTTTTATTTTTTTTCTATATTAATTTTTTTCAATTATCAAGAGTATGAATTTCGAATTTTTCTAATTCTTTTTTTTTTTTCTTCTATAATTGAAAAAAGTACTTTCTTTAACGTGATGCGAATTTTTAACTTTCTTTTTTCATTTTTCTTCTCTTAGGAAGAATTATTTCTATTTTCTTTTTTTATAATTTTTCGAAACTTTTATCAGCTCACATTTTCATATTTTTTCTCTTGGCTTTTATTTCTTGGCAGGAATTATTTCTAATTCTATTTTTTTTTTCTATAATTGAAAAAAGTATTTTCTTTAACGAGTGATACGAATTTTTAATTTTTTGTAGAGATATTTGAGAAGTGATGGCTATATTCGTTTTTACAAGTGTGTTTTTTTTTTCATTTTCCTTCTCTTAGGAAGAATTATTTGTATTTTCCTTTTCCTATAAATTTTCAATTACAAGAGTATGAATTTTTCGAAACTTTCATCAGCTCACATTTTTATATTTTTCTCTTGGCTTTTATTTCCTGAAAGGAATTAATTCTAATTATTTTTTCATAATTGAAAGAAATATGAATTTTTTAAAAAGTTTGAAGAATACAAAAGGAACTTTTCCGAGATAAGATTAAAAAATTAATGTTCAAGATGATTACCAATTATACTCAATAGTAAGTGTTAAGAAAATGCAGATAAAAATCCAAAAGAACTAATTTTCTTAATCAGAAACTTAATACTGATAATTAACATTCTTTATAAAATACTTTAAGTGAAAATTTTATTTATCTTCGTCCACTACTTCGACATAACGTTCCAAATTTGTAATAAGAGATAATCAAATGACAAAGTATACTACTACTATATTTATCAAAATTGAATTGAATGGAATTTTTGCATTAGACAAATGAAAATTTAAAAAAGAAACAAAAACTTGGGACAAAACGTTCAAAACGTTTGAAAATGGAAACAGATTTATGCTTTTTTTAAAAATTTCTCCAAATAACATATCGTTTTTAAAGAAAAATACCGACATCATTTTTGGGATTCGTGATTCAGAAAAAAAGGAGTTTGATAAAGAGCTGAAACTTATAGACGGATCATTACGAATTCCGTGTCGATAGGAACAATTTTGCGGTGTATTTGCTCGTTCGATTAACCCTCAAGTTTGTGAGTCGTAGAGATTTCCTCTCCTTTTGGATCGGTTAACAAAGGATCTCAGCCCTGGGGGGCTGATCCCTGTTTATCCGTGAAATTCTTAGCCGAAAAACAAAAATATCTGTTCTCGAAATTGAGAATGATTAGGATTCTGATTTTTGAAATTTTTCCATTGCAATTGACTTAAATTTTTAAGAACATATGTAAATTGACAGATAAACATGCTTCAATGTTTTCTAGATATGAATGCATCGAGTGAAAGAAAATTGGAGAAATTAAATTAAATTAAATGAAAGTTAAAAAAAAAAAAAAGAATTTATGATCTCAGGATTTAATCAAGAGATATCGAATCGATAGTGAGTTAAAATATGAGGAATTGTGACTCCAGTGTTCTCAGCTTTCGGGAGAAACGCTTGGAGTTTAAGGAATCTTTCGAATTTTTGAAAACTTTCGCGAAGAATAAAGTGAAAGTTATGGAAAGGAAAAGAATCAAAAAGTAAACTTCTTCTAAAGTTTTTCGTTTACATGAAAAAAAATTATGCGAGTAGAAAAAAAAAAACAAGATTATTACGTTTCTAAAAACGTATTTTAAAAATTTAAAGTAGAAAATTGAATATCGATCATTTTTGCTCTTTCATCTTTTAACAGGTCAATTTCAACATTGACCATTATTGCTCATCAATTTTTAACATCTCGTCATCCAAATATCATCAAACATGAAAGATGTGATCTCTTCCTCTTTTAGATTTTAAGGATTCGCTCTTAAAGGATGTTAGTAGCTTGTGAAAGATTCACAGCACGTCCAAGATTCTCTCGATGCGTCACATTAAACGAGTTATAAGGATATACCCTGAGCAGCACTGCTATCAATATTATGGTACGAAGTCAGATGAAATTATTGTTATGTCAAAGCACTTTCAAAGCTTTGACAATATATCAGAAGGGCGTTTTACAATTTTCATGTTTTTCTGACAAAATTATTCAGTCATAATCAGAATCCTCAATTTTTTGATCTAAAAACAATCCCATAACTTGAGATAATTATTTTTTTGTTAATTTCCTTCTTACTAACTGCTAAACCATAGTGCAGTAAAATTTTATCCAGAATCTCACAAGATGGCTAAAATTTAAAAATATCTTTCTTTAAACATAATCTTTTATTTCATGATTGTAAATGAAGAATAATTATCTTGTTTATTTATCTTTTCTTAGAAGAATGCAAATTTATTTTTTATTTATATGAGATTATTTATATTATTTATATGAGAAACATAATCTTTTATTTCATGATTGTAAATGAAGAATAATTATCTTGTTTATTTATTTTTTCTCAGAAGAATGCAAATTTATTTTTTATTTATATGAGATTCTAAACAGATTTTAGAATCAATTCTATTTTCCATGAAAAATAGATATCAAGCTTAAGATCAGAATTACTATATATCATAGTATATTAATTTTAAAATTAAATAATGTTTCCATGATAGTTAAGTAATGATCAAAAGTATTGAATCAAAAGAGAGAATAAAATTACACTTGATGGTGATTGCTACACTCTCAGTCAGGAATTAACCTTCTTCAATTAACCAAATAAGTTTCGGAACGGAAATGTATGACTCTGCAGACAAAATCTTGATTAAGAGATGCGTTGGACGGGCCGATGCCATTCGGCTTGATGAATAAATCGGCATGGACAGATCTCATTAACTGCGTATCCACTTTCGTGTCTGACCACAACCGTGACACTTCACTGATGGCTGATCCCTGTTATATTCTACTATTAAAGTGAATAGTGCCTCAGACGTATAGTTAT